GTTCTCCTTGTATTATAGATGGAAAAAACAAAAAACAAAACGAAACAGCAACAACAAAACCTAAGGCTAAATTTTAGCCACATTTCCCCAAATTCCATAGCAGGCATATATTTGGGAGATGTGTTTGGCATCTGAGTCCAAAGTTTTCTCTTCGCATTATACTAGGGGTATATAAAGGAGCCAAATCTAGCCTGCCACATATATCTGTTTTATTAGAAGATGGCCACACCCAGTTATTGATATATTTTCCAGGGTTGCTTTTACACTATAGTGGCAGAGTTGAGTAGTTGCAGCAAAGACTAGATGGCCTACAAAGCAGAATATGTTTACTGTCTGGAGCTTTAAGAACAACACTGTTGACCCCTACACTATACTGTTCCTGAAGATGGCCCTGTTGTTGGCAAAGGGGATGGTTTTTCTGGCGGCACATTGCAAGTCTAAAATCGGAAAGTCTATCATCTGTCTAACTCACCTTTTTTTTTCTCTTTATGTCATGTTGTCTTTTAAATATTTGTTGTTATGATTTTGTGGAGGGTAGTGGCTTTTACCTCTGAGTCTAAACGCCAGTTAGTAATAGTTTGATTTATTTGTTTAGAGATTTCCTGTCAGCAGTCTTGTAATAGATTGTTTGAGATTCTGAATGGTTTCAAGAAGCATACATACATTTTTCAGCAGATCTTTCTTTCTTGAGGGGAAAAGTCAGCCAAAGTGATTGTGCGGTGTGTAAGGAAGTTCTATTGCTTTCATTTTGAGAGAAGCAGCATCCCTGTGTTTTTGCCTGATGTTAATGTACTATTACACAGACAAACTCTAACCAAGGTGGGATTGAGGAAATATTAATATCAGTTTTATGCACCTTGGGTTAATCGAAGGTGTGCCTGGAAAAAAAGTCAGTTGTAAGGCAACAGTTCTTAAATATCAGTGTACATAAGAAACACTTTGGAGTGCTTGTTTAAAAAAAAAATGTAGATTTTCAGACCCCTAGCCTGGAGATTCTGGATCAGTAAGTCTGATATAGATGGCTGTGATGCTTATGAGGAAAAAAAAAAAAAAAATGGGTTTGGGAGGTGGAGTCATGGTTTAATGCAGTATTTCTAGGTAGTCCAAATAAGGGTATTCATGATTTGTTTGTTAATCCTGTTTTAGTTTGCCTCAAAATGCGATATAACTATAAACTTTAAATGTTTAAGTACAACATAACAGGAAATAAAATAATGCCACTGTAAATGTATTTTCACTACTTCTACTACCACTAATAATGCAATAACATTTTATGTTTATGCTTTATAGTTATAGAGTTCCTCATTACCCACATCTCATTTGATTTTTATGTCAACCCTTGAGGTAGATGTGGCAAGGGGTATAATTTTCATTTATCAATGAGAAAACTGAGATTTTAAAAACGTGTTTATTTAATTTATTTTTTTCTTCCCCAACATGGCACAGCTAATAAGCACTACATTTAGAATTCCCATACAGCACTTCTGGATTTTAGTCCAGCATTATTTTCAATGCACCATATTATTCTTATGACACTTATTTTGATTTTTAAAGGAAAATATAATCAGTTTATGACTCACTGCCTTCCAATAGGAAGGATAAGCTGTTTATAGTTAAGTACTTTGGTAGTGCGCCACAGGCGACTTAAGGGTGGAGGTGACTGTAGGTATGCACAGATTGGTGAGTCATATGTCTTTATAGAATGTTTCAGGTGTGGAAGAAGAAATCTCTCTCCTTTCTTTGACAGAAACTCTATAAAACAGGTCGGGAGATGCAGGAGAGGATCATGGACCTGCTTGTGGTGGTGGAGAATGAAGATGTAACTGTTGAGCTAATTCAGGTGAACGAGGATTTGAATAATGCCATCCTTGGATATGAGAGGTAAGCAAATCATGTACCCTCTTTACCCCTCTTCCATTTCTACTTTCACCACCAATTACTCAGCATCCTTATCAGAGTGCCTACAAGGAACCCCTCTTTCTAGATCCTCCATTCTAGAAAGGTATAGGAATAGGAAAGGTATTGGCATGTGGGGTGGAACAGTTTTCCCTTGTGCGGCTCCTACTCAGTAAATGCCAGAGGTCTTTCTCCTAGTTAAAGTGACATTTCAGCCCAGCATGGTGGCTCCCACCTATAATCCCAGCACTTTTGGAGGCCGAGGCAGGAGGATCACTTGAGCCCAGGAATAGACCAGCCCTGACAACATAGTAAGACCCTGTCTCTACAAAAAATAAAAAATAAGGCCAGGCGCAGTGGCTCATGCCTGTAATCCCAGCCCTTTGGGAGACCAAGGCGGGCAAATCATTTGAGGTCAGGAGTTCGAAACCAGCCTAACCAACATAGTGAAACCCCCATCTCTACTAAAAATACAAAAAAATTAGCTGGGCATGGTGGTGCATGCCTGTAATCCCAGCTACTTAGGAGGCTGAGACAGGAGAATCACTTGAAGGGGAGGTGGAGGTTGCGGTGAGCCAAGATCACACCACTGCACTCCAACCTTGGCAACAGAGTGAGACTCTGCCTCAAATAAATA